AATATTAGAGAAATAAGTGAACTATTTATCCGTACCAAAAATCGCCCTCTTAGAAGACTTTTACTTGAAGCCGTTCAGAAAAAATAATTTTATATAAAAGTTGTTCCTCTTTTTAGATTTGCAGAAATGAGTTTTCCTTCTTTTTTTTTTTTTACTATTCTTATGTGTCTATGGCATATCTGTTTTTATTTTCGAACAACTAGTCAACATTACTATTACTGGACATCGCACTCATTCATTCAATTGTTTTGAACAAACATGGACAATCTAGACGACCGGCATATTCACGGTCAAACAGGGACAGAGACGAAGAGAAAAAACAGTTGTGTTACATTTTTGTCTTCTTTTTTTTATTCAAATTTCACCTTCTGTATACGACGAGAAATTCTCTCTATAGATATATATATAGAGAGAGACATATAGATTTATTCGGATGAAAGGTGTTGTTCTTTATCCATCCTTCGCAGAAACAATAAAAATACCGCGAAAAGAAATCTCTATTTCACTTGGAGGTAAGATAATAAAATCTCCTTTTTTCTCGTTAACGAAACATACTGAACTGGACATTTTCAGAAAAATGAAGAACAGTAATAAAAAGAAAAAATTTCACCTTTAAGAATTTCCTCCATGTTTTTAGATTATAAAAAGTATTTTTTTCTTATGAACATAAGCATAAAAGATAAATAGGAAAAAGTTTGTGGTTTAAAAAAAAGTAGTTAAAAAAGTGTGTGGATAAAATTGAATAGAACGAAGAGACAATAAGACACTATGGCTAGTGATTTAGATGGTCCGTCAAAAAGTTTGTTGGGTAAGCATAGTATTTTTTAATCCATTTCTCTTTAGATGAATCAGACAGGTTGATCTTACTTCTAATAAAGAGATACAAAATTTTGTTCTAAAGTCTTCTGGTACTGTTGTGATTTGATTGATCTATATAACCAGCCACTATTTGTAGGATATGAAAATTCTTTCGGGCCTTTCTTAAACTCCTGCAAAAGTAGAGCAGAAGAGTTAGGTTCTAATTTCTTTTTATAGGATTTTTTTTTTATCCTATTTAAGTGGTAAGTAGAGACACTAACATACTCAAGAAATTGTCAAAGCAGAAAAGAGGCTCAACTTTTATATAAAATTATTTTTTCTGAACGGCTTCAAGTAAAAGTCTTCTAAGAGGGCGATTTTTGGTACGGATAAATAGTTCACTTATTTCTCTAATATTGAAATTAGGACAATCCTTTACACTACGAAATTCAGTTTTCAATTGTACACTGTGGTAGGATTGTTTTTTAATATTGTTATATATTTTCTAGGTATTTTTGCCGTGTTATTATTGGGTAGTACTATTACAACCGTTGTCTACGGTTCATTAACATTGGTAAAATTCATTCATATTCCTTATAATTTTGGTCAATTTTCCATATATGCTGCATCAATTGCACTCATCGCTATTGGTGGTTTACTCCTATTTACTCTAATATTTGGCATTATCGGTGTATCACTACATAATGGAAATCTTCGTTTGCTTACATTAGTATTAGCATTTTTATTATTCTGTGCATTAGCTATTATTGGTGTTTGGTCAATGGTTTTAGTTAAAACAAATGGTTTACAGCTTAGTATTAATAATGATATTATAGATTTGAATAAACTTTATCGTGAAAAGCCTAATGCAGCAAAGAAGATCGATTATTTAAATGAAAATTATCAATGTTGTGGTGCAATAACAGATGATAAAAAAGAATTAGAGAATGTATCTGGCTTACCAGTGTCATGTTGTATAACGCCCGAATGTAAAACCAAAAAAGTTCTAGAAGCAAGTGATGGCATATATCAAAAAGGATGTATAGATTCGAGTTATCGTTCAGAAAAGGTTGACAGAGTTTTTATATTGTCTATTGTTTCATTAGCATGTGCCGGGGCCGTTTTACTTGGTTTAATCTTTTATGGAATCGTAACGAAAAAAGCGAGAGAAGGTTATGCAACTGTTAATCATTAAATTCGTAGCGAAAGGCATCATAATAGTAGTGATTTTTCTCTCTCTCTCCATTTGTATATCATAAATACTGGCTCAATTTGTTATGCTTATTTTATAAAAGAACATTGTGTATATATATTATGTATATAGAAAGAAATTTAATGAATTAAGATTCGCCTCGTAGCAACGATTTTGCTTTTGTCATTGATGTGTACTGATCTTCTTTCTGCTAATGGCTTTTTCAAAAATAAAAGATAGTAGTTTTTTTCGTGTAATTTTTTCTATACATGCCATATCAATGTTTTTTATTTCAATAATGTTTTATGTACACAAATAAGATTTAGTTACACACGAATTAAGGATAAAATTATGCCTGATTGAATGTGAACATTATTTCTCGCTTTTTAAACTGAACAATCGTGAAAACATGTATGAAGAGTAACTGTGCCTTTAAAAAAAAGAATAAGTGGACAATAATTTTCCTATTGTCTCATCTGACATGAACGTATTTTTTCAATACATGTTACAATAAATAATTTTATATTGCACACAAGTTAGACACGAATGAACAGATTTTGTCTGAACAACAAATTTATAAATCTATAGAAATACATGAAGAAACAAATGGGTAAATATAAATGATCGATTTGTAAAATAAAAAATGATCGATTTGTAAAATAAAAAATGATGAACGTCAAGGATACCTTCCCCGTTTGAAGCTAATTGAGTTTTTATATATTTTTCAGTTTCACATTTTGCAAGCCAAAAAGTAAACGAAAAAGTGTTCTATTTTGCAAGCCTTAATTGAGGAAAAAATATAGGTTCTTTTGTTCGATAATTCATCAAATTTTGTTAATAAAAGAAAGAATAAGATGATACAGCTGTCTATTACAAATCAAATTCAAAGTGTCTCGAAGTGTTTTTAGAATGCTGATGTTGTCAACTTTTCAGCAGAGGACTAATGATTAAATACAAAGTTTCGGATTCAAGCGTCTAAAACAATAGATTGTCCATCCAAGTCTGTAGAATGGAGATGCTACAATATTTTGATACCTGTTCTTCTTTAAATCAAACGTTCTGCAGTTTTCAATGGATAATAGATCGTAGCGATAAAAAGCATTCACATGAGGATAGAAACGAATACGTATTATGACAAATAAATAAAAAGGGTTCTCATCATTAACAAGTTAAGTTCATTATTAGAGGAAAAATTGTTTTGTCAATTAGTAAGAGTTGTTTTAGATCCTGATTTCGATTTGTGTGTAGCCAAAATAAAAATTATGTTATGTCATCGCTTTTCTGTAATATTATGTCTTAATTGTAATTTTTTTTCCTGTTGATTACTTACAGAACGAAAGAATCTGTAGTTTTTTTCTTAATTAATTGGCTGGTAAAACGGGAATGATTCACATCAAGACATACTGTTCTGAAAAAGTATTGTGACTCGGTGGGAATAAAATCCTAAAGTGTTTTAGTAACAATATAACCTAGAGTAATATAACCTAATATAACCTAGAGACAAATTCTTTTAATCTCATCTAAAATCTTTTTTTTAATCTAATCCAAAATTATTAACTTTTCATGATATTCTAAAATCTAGGAACTGTATCAAATAGTACAACTGATGGTAAAGTTCTTCGTTTCTATATTTCCAGATTTTCATTTCTCAATTTATCTTTAGAAAAGAGAATTACATATAAACAGAATAAAGTGATCAAACTAAGCTTATTAGTTTTGCGATACGAGAGAGAAGAGAAAAGAGAAAAACAAAACAAATGCAGAAACGGTAAGATGATGAGGAGTGAAGGTCTGAAAAGAATGGTAATTTATTCATGTACTCTTTCTCATTAAAGTAATATTTACTCCCAGAATAGTCAAAGCATTCTGTAATATATATACTTTTTCTACAAAACGCGTTTAGACTACATTAAAAAATTATTGAGATGGGAACGATATATCAAAAGTAAATTCGAAACTGCGTTCTTTTCAAAAATACAACCAATTATTGTTTTCAATATTATCTAAAATTGATTATACATGCAAGTTTTTATGTTTTTATTGTATATATTAACTAGAGAGACTAGTGTAAGAATATAGAATTTCATTTTCTACGAAAGATCCTCCGCCTAGTTTTCTTTCTACATACAATTATTGGATACCTAGTATAATGTAGTAATGCTATTCAAAATGGATTCCAAAACACATCTATAGAAAAGATTTAAAGGAATTCGAACACGTGGATAATGATTTTTGCGAATTATTGGAACAAGCATAGTGAATATAATGATGTGGCGAGGATGATTGTCTAATGTAGAAAAAAGTACGGCTGTTGGACGGTTCTACACATTTCCATTGTTGTTCAATAGTTTCAAATGTTGTTTCTACTGATCCTACGTTATGCTCATCATTATTTATGCAATCATCGTTAACATCGCTTAAAGTTTCACGTTTTATTGGATATATTCTTTGTTTTATATTTTCGATGACGTTGTTAATTAGAAGATAATAAATCATACAAAAACATAATTGCAAAATAATTATTATTCCCATGATCAAAATGATAACAGATTCATAATTTTCATGAACGACTATAAGTTGTAGTAGTTGATATTCGTGATGTTGAGCACGACTACCACCGTTAGATTTTGATTTTTTATAATCATTTTGAGCATCATTTAATGTTGATCACAATTCCAAAAATGTGTGTGAAATAGTAGATGATAATGTTCTTGTTGTTCTATCATCAAACGATGGTGGACCGTAGAAAGGTGTGTTGGTGTAACTTTGTTCACCATTCTGATTAATCATTTCTGATCTGAGCGATTTTCTTGTTCTTACCAATGAATTTTTGTCAATAATTTGTTGTACGCTTTGAAACAACATCGAACAATCGTTCTTTTGTGAAAGGATGAAGTTTGCACGGTGGCAAGCACAATGAGGAAATGTGATCAACTAAGTGTTGACTAAACTGAAAGTATCGAGTATAAACCAAGGATAATAAATAATGCAATATAGAATCGGTTATTATGACTAATATATTTTTATCGTACAACTCATAATTTAATCCAATTATATGCATACATACATACACAGAAACACGTTGAGAGATAAGACGAAATGATAACATACATTCATTATTTTTGCTGTATTGTGTGTAAAATATGATTTCTACTGGATAATTCAATTGAAATATTTCTATATTAAGTAGTTTTACAGCAGTTAGGGTCATTTCAATAATCAGTTCCATAAGCAACATAAGAAGACATTAGAGTATTCTAAAGTTTCTTATTGACATAACTGGACGACTTGAACTATTCAATCATTCCCATCATCATGATTGAGTTCAAGGTCTCGGACACACAGTACTCTCAGTCGAGATCAATACACATTTTCAACTAGTGTGTTCATCATCAATTCTACAACAACATTTTATGGTATAGAATATAACAAGGCATATGTTGGTGGAAGATGCGGACTCCTACAGTCACCAACTCTTAGAACACTACTACACCGCGTGAAATATCATGCCGCGTCTATTATAGGTGCACTATTTCAGCTTTTTTCTTCGCAGCATTCCTAAATATAACGTCTATTAATTGTCAAATACAATACTCATTGAGCGATATTTGTCAATTTTCCATCTGTGAATTTTTCTTGCGTATTCGTTTCATATGCTGATGCTCTACCAGCGTCGTCACTTATTCTTACCGACAACAACTGCTAACAGAGATCATGGGGAGAGATTATCACCGAATAATTGGAAAAAATTCTTTTTCGTCAGTGAAAACAAAAACATAGGTAAAGTATTCGCATGTTCGATCATCCGTTGAGTACTGCTAAAGTTTTTATGTTAGCCAGTACAATATTTAGAAAAAAACTGATGAGATTACTTAACAAAATAGATCTCTGTTTCAAACACAACACCATTTAACACGAGTAACTCCATCATACAAACATTATTTATCTTATTTTTCTATTATCCTCTCCGTACTTCAAACACTATTCTGACAATCGAACCCACGATACATTAAATCAGTATGTAACATGAGAAAGCAGCAGGATGATCTCGAGATCTGGAGAATGTTAGATCATGAGAACGTTAGAAGCGGACGCTATCATGCATTGGATAAATGTTTTGGAGGACGGAAGAATAATTTAATGGCAATAGTCGACGAATCATAAAGCATGAAATCCAAATTCAGATAAAGAGGTTATCGGGTAAACTCGAAGAAGATAGGAATATTTGAAACTTCACTGTGCAACAGAATAGAATCATTTTTCAAATCTCGATTACACAATGAATCATCTGATGGTACATCTTACACCCTACGTTTACTTTTAGTTCTGTAGGTGAAGAATCTTTATCATCAGCAAAATAATGCATATTGTATTCAATACTGAGATCTGGCCTAAAATTCCTACAGAAGGTACATATTTTTTGTGAGTATTTTTCCTAATGTTCCATGTTTAAATTTAGAAATCAGTACTGAGACCAGTTATTCGTCAAAATCTTGCGTGTATATCATCCACGACAAGTAGTTCGACTACCAATGAAAACACAAAGAGAATGTTTGATATGGTGAAAAATATCAAGTTTGGAATGTTGGTAAATCTATTTTCAATACTTTAGCTTATACTGTTCTACTGTTTTTCTTGCATATAGACAACGATAGAAGATGATAACAGTTTAAGATCAAGACCAATGGTAAGTGCATCTTTTTTTTCATTTTATTTTATTTTTCTACTCTCGTTTATTTTCTGTTGTAGGCGAGTAAACAAGCAGATCAATTTGATGGTACACTGTGGTTTTTTACCAACAAAAGTTCACATAAAGTTGATGAAATGAAAAAAAATATTGGTCGTGTAAATGTTAGTTATTCAGATATCTCCAAACAAAATTATGTATCGTTATCAGGACGAGCCGATATTATTGAAGATAAAAATAAAATGAAATCGCTTTGGACACCGTATCTTAAAGCGTTTTTTCCAAAAGGTTTGGACGACGATGATCTGGCTCTGTTAAAAATAACCGTTGATTATGCCGAATATTGGGATGGACCAAGTAACAAAATGACACAAGCCTATGGTATGATCAAAGCATATGTTACCGGTGATGCGAGTAGCATGGGAGAAAATAAAAAAGTTAATGTTCAATGAACAGTGCACTGACTGTTGTCATTCTACACGTATAAACTATATTGTTTTTTTTATAATAATCAAGCATTTCTATTAAATTTGTTAGTTTTCACAGAGACAATATCTCATGAACTGATTTGAGTGCAGAAAATAGTACAAGAGTTGCTTGAAAATATCTGCTCATGGAACTGCTACAGTTACCTGCTGTTCATTTTCAGATTTTTTCTTAGACATGACAAATCACCAATTTTATTTTATTACTGTTAGTTGTTTGTTTATACAAATGCATAGTCTGAAGTTCAACAATACCTATGTCACTCAATTATCATCACTGCGTTTCTATTCCTATGTTAAACCCGCAATACCGCTCACTAACCCCTATTTAATTAGTTTCAATGATATCGTTGCCGAGATGATAGGTCTAAATAAGAGTTCCAATCTAGAAGATTTACTATGTGCTAACGTATTGTTTCCTGGTTCCGTGCCTGTTGCCATGATTTATGCTGGACACCAGTTTGGTTATTTTACATCACAATTAGGCGATGGGCGCGCACTTTTACTCGGTGAAGTCGTTGATAATGAAGGAAACCATTGGGCATTACATGCAAAAGGAACAGGACCAACACCTTACAGTCGTGGTGGAGATGGACGCGCAGTTCTTCGATCCTCTATACGAGAATACTTAGTATCAGAGGCAATGGGTTATCTGAACATACCAACAACGAGAGCTTTATCTCTGGTTGGATCAAAAATGGCGGTTTATCGTGAAACAGTTGAAACAGCAGCTATTGTCATACGTGTAGCTCATCCATCGGCCTTTGTCCGATTTGGTACATTCGAAATATTTTCTAGCCGGGGGCAACATCTTGAAGTTAAACAACTCGCTGATTATGTAATTGATCATACACACGAATTTTATGATTTACGAGACAAATCAGCAACTACTAAATATTCAGAATTTCTTATACAGGTTGCACGTCTAACCGGTTATCTTGTAGCAAAATGGCAAATATATGGTTTTACTCATGGTGTACTAAACACTGACAATATGAGCATACTGGGCGTAAGCATCGATTATGGTCCCTACGGTTTTATTGAAGATAAGTGGAAAGATTATATTCCTAATCATTCAGACGGTGAAGGACGCTATGCATTCGATAAGCAACCGACTATTGGCGAATGGAATCTGATGAAATTAGTGACTGCCTTTTCATCATTAGTATCTGATGAGCATTATACAGTAGTTTCTAATATGTATTGGAAAACGTATGAAGATCACTATGGAGAGTTGATGAGAAAAAAACTTGGTTTAGTTACATTTCTGTATTCGGATAAATTATTATGGGAAGAATTGTTAGAACTATTAGATGCAAATCATATCGATTACACAATATTTTGGCGAAAACTAGCGGATAAAAATAAGGATTCAACTTATCCTGAATTATCAAGTTGGTTCGTTAAATATGAAAAACGATTAGCGTTAGAAGCAAGTTATGGACAAAGATCGAGAACAGAACGAATGAATAAAATAAATCCAAAGTATATATTAAGAAATTATTTAGCTCACACAGCAATATTAAAAGCACAAAAGGATGATTTTAGGGAAGTGAATAAATTGTTACGATTACTACGTCGACCGTTCGATGAACAACCAGAAATGGAACAGTATAGCAAAAAATCTCCAGAATGGGCAAAAAAATTGGTTATTTCATGTTCATCATAGTACTAAATATGTTAACGATAATATTCGTCCTTTGTTTATTTTTGTTAAAAACAGTGTTTAAGTAGCATCTACGACACGGCAAATAATTCTTGTCTGATAAGTTATTTATAATAGAAAATCTCGCTTATGTTTTTGTTATACTTCTTTTATAAAAAAAATGTATATATAGTGTGTACAATGTGTTACATTTTTATTTTCTATTCGAAAGAAATATATGTCGCACAGATCAGATAAAACTGATACCGTTATCAGTTTCATGTTGGAAAAAGTCACTGTTATCCCGATAAGAATTCGTACTTCATTACTGTTCAAGAAAAATATGTTCTGGACATTATACAAGGAGAGCATTGGACATCAAACTTTTTAATCTGTTAAATAAGCCAGAGATTAAAGGCTGGAGATATTCGAATGACTTAAGTATGTTGAACGTTTAGTTCCGGGACGGTCCGGTCCTACGAGACCGGGCCAGATTTTTTGGAAAATAGTTTTGTATGAAGCATAAAAATTTCTTAGTTTCTGTAGCTTTTGAACACTAGTTTTACGAGAAAGAACTAACACAAAATTCCAAAAGTCTTCAATTAATAATCTTATCACAATAGTGCTATTTTCCAGATTAGTTTGAATTATTGTCGTTCAATGTTCAAATGTTTGTGAAATCAATTAAAGCTGCAAGTCTACAGGATCGGGACCAAAAACGTCTGGTCCAGCAGATCCCTAGTTGCGAGACGAGTTATATGAGTATAGACGAACACAAAATGCAATTCAAGTAAAAATAATCATGCAGACGTCCTAGGTGGAACTGAAAAACATCGAGTTTCATAACTAACATGTAAAAAGGACGAAAAAGTATAAAAGTATGAGCTATAAAGTCTCATTGTACCGTTTACGTTAAAAAATCTGAAATAAACCAATCTGAATCCTCTATGATATAGTACTACTATATCAAAGATTTACGGAAATTTTTTTTCCCGACTGTTCATTCTTGTTTCTCGAGAAATGCAACTGTAGCGGAAATAACAGCAAAATCTCCGAACATGTAACATAGAAAACCGACAAAAATGAGCTAGAAAAAATGAGTTTTATATACCATGGGATAGATCTCCACGAGCGTAATCGATTGAAATGGGTTTCGACTCGTCTACATATTTGCTTAGGAGTGTTTTTAACAAACCCATAGATTTTTACAATATCGATTGTCTTTCTACCTATAACATGACGTGCTTCTTACAAAGGTTTGAAACACAGATGAGTAGATCAGCCTGCCAACGAGGAATTGGTTGATGTATGATAAGACCACGTTTGATTCAGATTTGAGCATTCTATATACAGATGTACTTTTCTCTGCATTTTGGTACAAAAAATCTTAAAGTACGTTTTTGCAGTTCTGGAGCGGAATTACAAAATATTTTGAATCGATGGTTTGATCCAGTAATTGCTATACCAAGGGCATTAAATGATAAAGTATTTGGATCGATAAGACTACATGTGAAGAGAATATTGTGTTACAAAGTCTTACATTACGTTTAGTGCCAAAAGTACACTTTTCGACGTTGACATAAATTTTTCATTCGGATACAGATCAAGTCCAGATGTAGTAAGCTCACAGAGAAAGAAAGAATTTTCATTCGATAAACGGCACTAAAAACACGTACGTTTAGTTATGAGATCTATATCTCGAGATCGTTGTGATGAAAAATTCTTCTTTTACTGTGGTAGTGAACACATCGAAGAGAAGTAAAATTAAAAAGAAATTATTGAAAGCAGTTGATTAGAACCGTACAAGTTACTGATTTATATATATCGGAGTCAAAAGGTAGAGTAACATTGCAAATTGTTCGTATAGTTATTAATGCTCAAGTATTCGTTATTACGATGCACAATACTTACGAGGCCACATTTTTAGGGGGCAAATCACTTTTTCTTAAAGAATATGGAAATCTATGTAATCGATAACGCGGATTTCGAATCTAATATTTGTTCTAGCAGTTAGGCCTTTGGTGAGTCAGATTTTCATAAAACCGATATTTTGAAGTCCAGAGTTTTTCCTCTGAATAAAATTCTGATCTCTCTCATGTGTCCAGTAAATCGAGTTCTGTATGCCATTAAATTTTTCGTGAACTTCATAAGTTTTAATAGGGATAGGATAAGTTAATAAAATCACGGTTGAAAAATCATGAGGATATATTCTAATAAGATGATAAGTTTTTTTAAAACTGCTTCAAGTGATGGATTTGTATGACGACTATTAATTGTTATTATATAAGTTATACACAATACAAACACGAAATCAAATGTTTTTCCGATTTTAGAACGAATCTGAAGAAAATTGAATGAACAAAGAGTATCGAAAACGGCTCTCTCAGCCCGATCTAAATTTTTTCCTGATTGGATGGGCGCTCAGTTCGCGCTTAGTTCTGTTTGCTATATGATATTTTTCTTCAACAATTTTATACTTGTGTCTAACGAATAATAGTTGAACAGTCTTTCTTTTCTTCAACACATTATAACTGCTATATGTCGTTATTTTTATGTTTTGTAATTAACATTAAGTACTTGAACTAAGTACGTTCGCTAGAGTAAACTGACAATAACAGAAAAAACAATGTTAATATTATCTATCGATGCTATGGACGAAGTTAGTATTTCATGTAAATCAAAACAGATCAATAAAAAAAATTACGGACTAATGTAATTACTAAACATGAAACCCGACAGATATTCGAAACAGTAACTTTACTATAAAATCTCTTGTTTAATAAAAAAAAAAAATGTGTTTTGCGTACCTCATCAACTGAGAAGGACTTTTACCGTTGTGTAATAAAAGATAATTGAAGAAGACAAAAGTAAGAAATGGAAAATATTGTATGTACTCAAGATACAACATCTTTACAACATATTTTAATCATATTCATTATAAACTAAGAAGCAGAGATGGTTTTTCTTCTATATTAAGAAAAATGCCTAGATGTACTCAAAACTAACATACGTATCCGTTTCAAATAATTTAAATAAATTTTAAAAAAAAAGTGCTACTCCAAGATGTGTAACATTCATTATAACTATTCAAACGAATAAACGAATAGAGCATTTATAAACTTTAATGACCGGCAGCAAGTGTTTGATTACCGTTATGATACCGAACCACTTTTTCTTCCAAATATGATTTTCGAGCAGGATGATCATCAGCCGGACGGTTTATCGGCACCCAAATCGGTTCACCAACGAAAAAACGTTTAGCTCGTATAAAGTTATTTTTATCAGGAATGAAACGATGATACATGCCTAAAAATATGTAAAATTAGTATAATTCAAGAGTAAACAAATTACACATCTGAGTCACAATCAAAAGTCTTACTACCTGCGGGTAAAATAATTAAATCACCAGGAAATACATTGATTCGAATCCATCGATCATTATAGTCTCGACAGTCAAAATAACCAGAACCTTCGAGAACCAATCTTATTTCCTCATCCGAATGAAGATCTAAAATAAAAGAATAGTTCTATTTCCACTGTTCTCTTCCGATTATAATATATTGTCTTACGTTCTTTGAAAAATGTTTTTAATTTTGTTTCATAATTTTCCATTGTTGGTTGTACTACTATCTCATCTTCATATGTATAATGTCGATCATTTTTTAATTTTTCCAATGATGAATGTTCAGATTGAAGATGATCCGGATGGAAATACCAGTATTCTACGCCTGTTCGATCACACATTTCTTGAGTATCTATTTCTCTTTCAATATGTTCACTTTGAGGATCATCGAGATTATCGTCCATATACCAAATGCGAACCTATTAAAAGAAAATGAAATCAGAATTGACATGATGTTATTATATATATAAACAAACGTCTTACCATGATCGGACGATGATAGACAAAGAATTAGAGAGAAAAATCTGAAATACGATACAAAATAAGATGCACAACGTAGTTCACATTATCGTTCTCCCTTCTCGATTAATATCTTTATAGTTTATTATGTCAAAAGTCTATATTTTGCTTATTTTTTCTTTGATATTCGTAAAGTTAGACGAAGATCTCTAAGTATTCTTAGTCCACACGTGTTTGAATAAGTAAAATTCAGAGTCAAAACAAATAACTATCCGTCTGTTACTATTTAAAGGATTTTTATTTTTAAAAAAATGATAGCATTTGTATTTATTTGAATCTAATAGAACTATCCACTTAATAAAATAGACAGTAATCCTATTTCTCAAACAGACGATAAAACACTGTCTCATGAGAAAAACGAACATATGTTATAAGACCATAGGGTAAAGAAACATTAATATTTTTTTTAATTACTTTATTATTTTAGAAATTATATACAAGTCAAGCTATAGCAAAACTATTCTCCTGATTTCAAGTACTATTTGAAAAAAAGAAATTGTATAGCATCAAAACACAAAATAAAAAGATGTAAAAGTATATTAAAAAAGAAAACTATAACTGAATGGAAGGATTATTGCATATTTTTTATAATTTTGATTTTAATTCATTTGCATTCGATTTAATTAATTGTTGAATAGCGCTCAAACTTGAACAAATATATTGTGAAAACTGTTCAGCATCTGTATCATTATTGTTTAATTTATATGTTGATATCATAAACAATATTTGATCGTTTAATGGATTGTAACAAAAACCGTATCCATCGTTAACTGCTGCGCCAAATAGCATTACACATTCATGTTTCGATGCTATCTGAGAATAAAAAGCAAATATACAAACAGATTGTAGATAGATGAAATAGTGTACACTATTTACCTGACTCGTTGATAATACAAAATGCATTGCACGCTTATAACTAAAATGATTATATAAAACTGGCAGAGGCAAATGATTTTCAATTGATATTAATTTTAGACCGAGTAAATGACGATCAACACCTTGACCATTTATTGCCTAAATTTAAAAAATCAAAAAGAGTGAACCAATATAATACCACCAGATAACTCTATTACATCATTTGTATATTTTCGATGGGCTTGTATAGCATTCAACAATAATTGATATTTTGTTTCTTGTGTTGTTTCATTATGTTTTTCTAGCATTGAACGGATAAACTGTTGTGCTTCAATTGTACATGAACGAATTGTCTCCGTTCTTCCAAAATGAAATTTTCTTAATGATCCACTTTCGTAGCATACGCCTGGTTTTCCATGCATTCTAAAATACCACAGTGAAAGAAAAATGATTAATAACGTGGGATTAAATTATAATTATAAATACCTAAAATAAGCTAATTGCAAACCAACTTGAATAATAGCATCGATTGACAATTTATTCAGTTTAGCAAATTGTTTTCCAAATTCAGCATAACTGACAATAGTTACATCAAAATTTTCTATTAATCTGTACAAAAGAAAATCCAGATAGATACGTCAATCTTAGTCTTTTGTTGATAAAAAATCTCCTACTTGTCAACTCTCTTTCGACTATCAATTATCTGTTGTTCTAAATGTTTTGGAATACTAATTGGAACTTTAGTATATGATGATGTAGTACGAACAAGTTCGGGTATTGAAGCATTTTGACTAAATAAAAAAAGACATACATTTTTAGAAATGACTCAAATCACAAATCCACGGAGAGTAATTCTTGTAACTATTACGTTTTAACAGATACAAAATAGTTTTCTTATATTGTCTTTACCAATATTCAAGTGAATAATCTATCATTGCCATTATTGGTCCACCTTCAGCACAACTGTGTTCGTAATTGATACCAGCATAACCATTTGGAGCAATAATTAGCTACAAAATAGAAATAAAAAACAATTTTAAATATAGAAAACATCTTATTATCACACGTACTTGTATTGTTTTATCAAACCATCGATTAGACGTATTGGTGACACCACCATGAAAAAAGTTTAATGCTGCCAATGTTTTACTGTTTTTATTTTTATAATTTTTCGATTCTATTTCTTTATCATCAATACAGACAACAAATAGACTATTATGTATTGTATCAAATAATAAATCATTGTTAGGATCTAAAGCCATTTATGTTTTAAAAAGATTTTTTGCATACAACAAATGACGAACCTGAAGTAAGTTCTTTATATATTGGTGCCCAATGTCTTCTTTCATCAGCTGTTAAATGTCCAATCAACTGTCCACATTCATCATTTGATAAATTATTTAGTAACGAATAGAGAGAAGACGGTGATAACTCATTATTATTATCATCATACAATGGAAGACGATAAATCTAAACACGGATAGTTTTGGTTAGATAAAAAAATTGAAAATGAGGTAAGTACATTGTTTCTATAAAATAATGCTGCATGACGATACATATTCGTGTTCTTGATGTTTTTATCGTATAAACATAAACGATCAATTTTCTCACCAGGAATACGACAAGTACCAAACACTTTTGTATGTTGATCCATACAAAGCATTTGTGTACCCGCACGATCAATTGGTAATAAGTCACTAACAATAAAGAACAGAGATTTGATGCGGCATTTTTTAAGAATTTAATAATTCTTACTTATCAATTAATTTGCGATATTTTAATAGAGCATAAATAAAATTCGCTGCAAATTTTAATTGTTCATCGAAATTTCGATACTTTTGTTTTGGAAATAAAGCACCCGGATTATAATAAATTGGTAAATTACCACGCCACAATAAATACGTTTGATCTAACCACCATTGAGATAACTGAAAAAATAAGATTAAAATAGATTTGTATGAAAACTATGAATCTCATTTACCCAATTGATTTCGGTATCGGCACGTTTTAATAGCAGTTGTTGTAATGGTTCAGCTTCTTGAAGAAATTCATCAACAACCTAAAATTATTTAATTCAGTAAATATTTTCTGTTAGTGTCTCAATCTATTACTTTTTTCGTTTCGTTAAACTCATCATTGTTCAATAATGGTGCTACGGTTTTCAGATACTTTTGTGCTGTTTGCACTAGTTTTGGTACTGGTAGCCTTAGGATAGAAAAAAAGTAGTCACCTTTTCTTTATTTAGATACAAGTTATTTTGCAGTAAACAACGATATTAGTCACACCGATAATACCTTGGTAAATCATTTTTTGTATAGCTTCGTTCTTGTTGTACGGATGATGTTGTCGTTAACATTCGATTTGAATAAATTTTGACAAAAGAACGAACAAGAACACATTGTCGTTGACTCGTCTATAAAACCGTTGTTGTAGAAAAAGAATAAATAAACCAAGATAAGTATATGAGTCATTACACACACACACACACACATAGGTATACACTAGTTAACTGTACTTGTAAAACTACTGATAACTGCAACTGCTCATAACTATAGGCAAATATTCTAGAATGAGTTAGTCTTCTAGGATTTGCATACATTTTAAGAATGTCTCTATTCTAACAGTTATACAGTTCTGACAGTTAACTGTAACTGGTGCATGACTACACACACACATATATATATGCACGTGCTCAATAAACGGATATTACCTCCTGAGTATTTTTCAATTAAGTAAGAAATCATTTGAGCCTTTGTTTTCAATATTGTTAGCAAACGTACATTAAAATTTTTTATAATACAGAAAGTCAAAAAGCTAATTGAATATGAACAACAAAAACGAACAGCGGATCGATGGTGTTCTCGTCAACCTTCACAAATTAATTTAAAATTTTTCTGTTTGACTACGAAAACTGATTTGAAAATGATTGACATATGATTTTTATTTGAATCACACTTTTTTATTTTTTTGCATAGAAAATGACTTAAACTTACAATGATTCAAATGAGTTGATAAAACCAGGTAAGATGTGTCCTACAGCGGTTGAAATAAGGTATCGGCAATGCAAAAACGTAGGAAAATTTTTATTTTTTTATTTTCATATACATGGTTGAATCGAGCTCATCATGAGTAAATGTCATTTTTGTTTTTTTTCTTCCTTTTAATTCTACCGGCAAAAGGACGTTATGTATTAAAAGTTCAATTTATAACCGAATAAGCTCTAAAATATTTCTCTGTACTTACGTTTTTTATAAACGGATTTCCCCAGATGAGATTCATAAATCAAACAGATCTTTTTCCAAGTCTTCAGGTCTGAAATAAAAGTGAAGGATGTAGAAGTGTCTGTTTTGCAACATATATTAGCCAACTATAAAAATATCTTTCTCAAACAAGCACATTTCTAATATAAGAAAACAACCATTCATCCGTACAATTACATAAGATATTTATTTTATAAAAAATTTCACTAAATAATATTTCTTTCTTTTGAGATAATGAACTAACGAGGGATTATATCCAATTATTCTTTATTACGTCAGTGGTAGGTATTCGAAAAAAATAAATCTTAAATCAAAAACAAACACAAAGATCCAACAAAAATTAACTTAATATTTAGTTAATTTTCACAACTTTAACCATAGTACAACATAGACACTAGTAATAGTAAATTCCGTCTGGTAGTTTACCCAAAACCTAAACTGATAAGTTCTCCTTCGAAAATTAGTAGTAGGTTTTCGAATATTGTAATGAAGTTATTTTCATTTGTTTTAGCTTAAATAAATCAGGCATTCGAGTAAAGAAATTGACCTAAAAATGAGTTTTCAAATGACAATAGCCCCAAGAGTTAGGAATTCATACGCAAATAACTTTAATAATTACAACTTTTAATATAAAAACAAAAAGTACAAACAAAAAGTTTATAAAAAGTAACGAGCTAAACGCACCAATAAACAAAAAAAAATAAGGTTAGTTATATTTTTGAAAGGAACTGATTTCTTAATTTTTTTTGCAAAAAAAGCGGGGAGGGTACCCTTAACGGGAGTGGGGGTAATCTGCCCATTTTGAATAGATAATAAGACAAACACCACCTTATACATAATGAAGTTACAATTTTACTTGAGACTAGTTTCGTCTTTATTCAAAAGACATCATCAGTCATATGATGGCATAATTGAATCATTTTTTAAGGTGAAGAATGCGATGTGCCATCATATGACTGATAATGGCTTTTGAATAAAGACGAAACTAGTCTCAAGTAAAATTGTAACTTCATTATGTATAAGGTGGTGTTTGTCTTATTATCTATTCTTAAATTCTTCACCTTAAAAAATGATTCAATTATTGCTCATTTTGATTTGGCTCAAACTTTGCTAGTTTATAGAGCACACTTTAAAGTGCATATCGTGAAATTTTCGGACCTTACGGATATAGTCTCGCTGAGAAAAAAAATAAATTATTCAAAAATTTAATCATTAAAGTAAGTTTAAAAAATAGTTAATAAGTGCTAATTATTTTTGTTTTACTGGAAAAAAGTTCACTTTGTAAAATGAGTCTGTAACGGAAAAATGCAAGCAATAACTCATTCGATAGAGACTTCCAAGAGATCCTTCAAAATGGATGCGGCAAGTCAAATCTAAAGTTCTTCGTTAGACTTGACGTGAAAAGATGAAAAATTTATTTTTGGATACATTTCGTAGTTCTCTATCGAACGGTAACAGATTCACGATTTTTTTATTGAAAAATGAAAACTTTATTGAAATTTTAAAAATGGAGCAAAAAACCGAAAGCTAAAGTTAAAAACTACAAATCCGATAACTGAAAAAAGTTTTCGGGTTAGATATTTCAAAGTGTCTTCTACAAACTGGTAGAAAAATCCGAGTGGATAGATCCCCCTTAACTGTAGTTGTTTTAGCGGCTCTGATAAATATTTTCATGAGTTATTTTGATTAAATTTGATATCTGACGAGAGAGGAAGAATATTTAATATTGTCGATTTTTTACCCTCAAAAAGAAGATATATAATCACCAGATAAATCAGCTACTTGAGGTCTGAGTAGTTGAATCTGAATATTCTACAAGAATATCTATCAGTAATAGAAATAAAAAAATTAGTAATATCGAATATATATATACACATGTGTGTACTTGTTGCAGATAAACAAACAAACAAACAAGTGATGAATGAGATTCCAAAAAATCAGAATACTCAAAAAAACAAAAAAAACAGAATAAAAATAATAAAACTAAAAAAGCATATGAAAAACAAAATTATTGACTATGCCGAATGTTATTGCACAAAAAGAAAAACGTAACGTAGCCCGTTATAAAAAAAGAGAATATAAAATATATGATTAGTTTTCTAACTCTGGATTATCGATGAAGTTTTAATTTTTTGAACTTTTTCATCTTTGAATGCAAAACTTAAACACAATTGTTTATCTCTCAAGTCTCCCCATCCACCGTTCAAATTTATAAACGGTCTTTTGTTTTGATAATGTAAGTTTACTTGTAACGATGTGGGAAATAAATGTTTTAAATTAACAGTATAAAATTCTGATGTTTCATGCCATATCTTTTTAATATCAAATGCACTACCACCACATGTTTTATTATGATGTGTGCCACTAAAACGAGAGAAATATGACCAAAAATAAAAACATGTTCTTTTTTTTTTACTAAGTGATACAAGAGATTGTTTGATAGATATGCATAGAGTAGGTTGGGGTAATTCGAGATAGCCTCTCTAATTTTCACAGTATTTTGAGCATACCTGAAGCATTTTTACTCGGGGGAAAAACGACATTTCGCAGGTGGATAGACCGAACATTTCTCTATCTACTAATGTAAAAATCTTGTTAAAGTTCAATAAGATTAATTAGTACTCATCAATTTCCAGAGAGCTCCTATCAAATGTCCCGAATTACCCCAAATGAGG